TGAAGGAATAATAGTCTCCCAACAAAGAAGAGCCCAAGACCAGACAGATTCACTCCTGAATTCTACCAGACCTTTAAAGAAAAACAGCAATTCTCCTCAAACTATCCCATAAAATAGAAAGGGAAGGGATGGTATGAATCCAGTATTACCCTAATACCAAACCCCAATAAGGACACAACAAAAAAAGAAAAGTATAGACCAATTTCCTTGAGGAAAAATAGACACAAAATTTCTCAATACAATACTTGCAAAGTAAAATATATGAAAAAGATCATATACCATGATAAAATTGGTTTCATCCAGGCATGCAAAGACTATTCAACATGCATAAATCAGCAAATGTCATACAGTATAAAAACAGAATCAAGGACAAAAATCACATGATCTTCTCAATAGATGTCAAAATCTAACATCCCCTCACGACAAAAGCTCTGAAGAAAGTAGGAATAAAAGGAACATACCTCAACATGATAAAGGCTATGTATGACAAATCTACAGCCAACAGTGTACTAAATGGGGAAAAAACTGAAATAATTTCCAATAAAGTAGGAATGAAACAAGGATGTCTACTCTCTCCCACTCTTATTCAATATAGTACTGGAATTCCTGGTCAGAACAGCATGGTAAGAGAAAGAAATAAAAGGGATTCAAATAGGGAAGAAAGAAGTAAAATTATACCTACTTACTGATGATATGATCCTACATTTAAAAGACTTTAAAGATTCTACCAAAAAACTCCTAGATGTCATGAACATTTTTGGTAATGCAGCAAGATATAAAATTAATACACTAAAATCAGTAGTTTTTCCATATGCCAACAATGAACAGGTTAAGAAAGAAATCAAGAAAACAATTTCATTCTCAATTGCCTCAAAAAATATCTAAGAATAAACTTAGATAATGAGGTGAAAGACCTGTACAATAAAAACTATAAAACACTGAAGAAAGAAATTGAAGAAGTTACCAAAAGATGGAAAGACTGTCCATATTCATGGATTGACAGGATTAATATTGTGAAAATAGCTACACCACCAAAAGCAATCTACAAATTCAATGCAATTCTCATCAAAATTCCAATGTCATTCTTTGCAGAAATAGAAAAATCAATCCTAAAATGCATATGGAAACATAGAAGATCCCAAATAACAAAAGTAATCCCAAGCAAAAAGGGCAATGCTGGAGGTATCACAATACCAGACTTCAAATTATACTATAGAGCCATAAACAGCATGGTACTGGCACAAAAATGATGTGAAGACCAATAGAACAGAAGAGAAAATCCAGAAATAAACCTACACAGCTGCAGCCATCTCATTTTTTTTTTCAATACTGGAGTTGAACTCAGGGCCTACACCTTGAGCCACTCCACCAGCCCTTTTTAGTGATAGGTTTTTTCAAGGTAGGGTCTTGTGAGCTATTTGCCTGAGCTGGTGTCAAACCATGATCCTCCTGATCTTTGCCTCCTGAGTAGCTATGATTACAGGTGTGAGCCACCAGCACCTGGCAGTCATCTGATTTTTGACAAAGGAGCCAAAAACATACATTGGAGAAAAGACAGTCTCTTCAACAAATGGTGCTGGGGAAAGTGGATATCTACATGTAAAAGACTGAAACTAGACTGGTCTCTCACCTGTACAAAAATTAATTCAAAATGAATCAAAGATTCCAATGTGAGACCTGAAAATTTGAAACTACTACAGAAAAACATAGGGAAAACACTGGAAGATGTAGGCATAGGTAATTATTATCATTTTTTTTTGGTGGCACTGGGGTTTGAACTGAGAGCCTCATGCTTGCTAGACAGGCACTCTACCACTTGAGCCACTCTGCCAGCCCCAGTAGGTAATTATTTTCTGAATAGGACTCCAATTGCCCAGAAAATAAGAGCAAGAATTGACAAATGGGACTGAATCAAATTTAAAAGCTTCTGCACATCAAAAGAAACAATTACAAGAAACAAGAGATAAAATCTCTTTGGGATAAAATCTTTACCAACTATTCAGTGGATAAAGGATTAATATGCCAAATATACAAAGAACTCAAAAAAGCAAACACCAAAAAAACAAAAATCCAGTTAATAAGTAGGCAAATGAACACAGTTCTCAGAAGTACAAATTGCTAATAAATACATGAAGAAATGTTCAACATTCTTAGTCATAAAGGAAATGCAAATCAAAATGATGCTGAGATTCCACCTCACCCTGTTCAGAATGGCAATTATCAGCAATTAGCAAGAAAACAAACAACAACAAATGAAGATACAGGGTAGGGGAAGAAATGTAAACTAGTATATCTGCTATGGAAACCAGTATGGAAGTTCAACAAAACACTAAAAATATTCCTATCTTATAACCCCTTTATATCACTCTTGGGTACATATCCAAAGGAGTGTCAACCAACATACAAGAGAGATATCTGCACATGCATGTTTATAGCAGTACTAGTCACAATAGCCAAGGTCTCCAACAACTGATGAATGGATAAAGAAAATCTGGAATATGTACACAATGGAGAGGTTGTTCAGCTATAAAGAAGAATGAAATTATGTTGTTTGCAGATAGAATGGATGGAACTGGAGATCATCAGGTTGAGTGAGATAAGCCAAGTGTCAAATATTGCATGTTTTCACTCATATGCAGAATCTAGACCTAAAATGATAGTTATAATGGGATATGTGTGTTAAAGGGGGAGTGCCGGGGTATATGTAGATATATGTATTCATTAAAATAGCATCATGAAACGCACCAAGTACCATTTGAAAAAGGGAGTGGAAGGAGGGGAATTAAGAGAATATAATATAGGAAGTAAACTTGTCCAAAGCATACTATACACAGCTAAGGAATTATCACAGTGAAATCCCATTATACTACTAATGTATACTAATTTTAAAATGATCTAAGGGCCTGAACAGACAGAAAAGAAAAATTAGTTCACTAAAATGAGACTTTACAAGTAAAATATTTCTTGAAAATTTCCTACATTCAACTCTTCTTTTTCAAGTCCTTTAGAGTACTATCATTTTGCTTTAGGGTTTAAGCTTGGGTAAATGTTGGGGATGTTCTTGATGGGAGAGAAGAAGTAAGTTAAAAGACAATCGCTGTTTGATGTACAGCATAAGAATCATGGATGTTTTCTCTTACTGCCTTCCAAACTACAGTGCAGGTAAGAGTTTCTTAACAGAGAACAATTGTAGGGGCAGGAAGCATATTTTTTGAGACATTCATTGGAGAGCACATGTGATTATCAGATCAACAAAACCCAATTTTCATGGGCTCAACTTTCATAGCACAAATGTTTCATTGAAGTAGTATTCATTATAATGGGATTTTTAAGCTATAAGTACCCTTATCCTATGTTCTTTAAAAATAAACTACTTCCCTTCTCTCTCTCTCACAAGCTTTCTTGCACTCCTGTTCCTACGACCTAACTGGGGGCAACTGGAGATGCAGAAAAGACAAACAATAGAAGACAAAGTTGGGGCCAGGTGTGCTGGGTGCTCAGATGGAGACACACAGCAGCCTTGTTACTTCTTTTCTATGATAACTCTTCTTTTACTTTGCTTCTTTTCTTTATCTTTAAAACTTTACTTCTAAAGTCTTTCTTATTTACTATTTTTTAAAACCATGCTTCTTTTCTATTCTTTAAAGTCTTTCCTTAGACTTGCACTGCCCCATGTTCTCTCTTAAAGTCTCGGTGTTCAGACTTGCAGACAAACAACAGCAGCCACGTCTAAATCTGCATTAGCATAACTCTTAAAATCTTGGTCCTTAGACTTGCAACTGTCCCATGTCCTCTTTAGCTTCTCTTTAGCTTAACTTTTATAAAGCCTATGTATAAACTTCTCAGTGCAGAAAGCTGCTCTGGTGCAGACACAACAGTCAGCAGCAGCAGAAGCCAATCAAAATCCCCCACCCTCCTTCAGCAAGTCTTTTATATCCAGTGGTAAACAAGGAGGTGGAGCAACAGTTCTCGGGGAGGGGCGTGACATTGTAACAAGAGAAACCTGCCTTCCTACATCTTTCTGTGAATATAAACAACTTAGGAAAAGCAGCTGTGCTGCATTTTGCCTCTCACTCTCTTCTGCGGCTGGGGCTGTGCCAAACTCAGCCTGTAGATCATTGAGCACAACTGTGTTTATGTCAAGTTCTCATAGGCTTCTCATAATCCACTCCCCGCACTTCTCCACTATATTTTGCCATTAATCACTTCAGTACTATTGTCCAGTTCAGCGAACAGGAACCAATGCCACCCAGATTTGCTCTGGACCAAGGGGCTTCATTTCATAATTCACCCAACTCTTTGTAAGAAAGGCAGAAGTAAACACTGCATCAAATAAACTGCACAGAATATCCAAACATCCATGGCCACCAGTCCCAGTACCCAATCCCCACTACAACACACATTGCATCACCTACAATACACATGTTCACACATTTACATACCAAAGACTCCATTTTGAAGGCTGCTCAATTATTCAACATGTTCAAAACCGTCTATAGCCAGTATATATAGGAATCAGCTTTCCAAAACTGATTGGCTCTCCTCTCCCTCATGTTCTCCAGCCACTTTCTCCATCCTCCCCACTCCCCACACATCATACCAAGGAGAAAAAAACAGGGCTCAAGTAGAGCTTCCCAAAACGATGAATTATCAGTAAAGAATTGACCAACCATTTCCTGAAGGTCAACTGGTCACTTTTGAGCAATAAGATTACAGAAAGAAGAGTTACAGGGCTTTGCCCTGAAAATATCAAAATATGACTTGTTCCACCTTATAAATAGAGCAACAAAAGAGATTGTAGCCAAGAAATTTTGAAAGTCATCTGAGAATCAAAGAAGAGAAGCTATTCTCTCCAAAGCCATCTCCTCCTTCTCCTTGGCATGAAATCTCATCAAACAACTCTTTATCAAGTTGTTTTGTAGAATCTTTGGGTTTATAAATGTTCTTGAACTTGTGACTCAAACACTGGGGATGAATTATCATATGCAGGGCAACCATACAAAAGCGCCTCTCTTGGTGACAGCTTCTCCCTTCATAATGACACAGTCATTCTCCATGAGAGCAGGCCACACGTGATAAAAGACCAAGGGAGCTGTGAAATCAGAGTCATAGCTTCGGCGGTACCTATTGTAAATACACAAAAAAAGAAAGAGAAGTTAAACATTGTTTTTTTTGTTTTGTTTTGTTTTGTTTTTTTGCAGTCCTGGAGTTTGAACTCAGGGCCTTTGCTGGGCAGATGCTTTCCCACCTGAGCCATAGCCCCAGCCCTTTTTGTATGTGTGTGTGCTGGGGATGGAACCCAGGCCTCCAGATGCAAGATGCAAGGCAAACACTCTATCCCTGAGCTATATCCCCAGCCAGAAGTTAGGCAGTTAGGAAGCATGATGGGGAAACCTCAGTGTAAATATTCAGTTTAGATTACGCTCAGCTCTAGATAAATCTGAATCCTAAGTCTATTATTAAAGAGATGGATGTGGACTCTTGGAACAGGAGCAGCAACACCTAGAACCCAGCATGGACTTGCCATGTCAGGCAGACTAATCTTTTTCCTTATCTTCTCAGGATTATCAAGTCAGGGAAATGCTGGCAACACAGAAAATCTGGAGTCCCATAAGGTTTCTTAAAAGATTTTTTATGCTGCCTCTGCAGAGAAAATAAAGAAAAATAGGTGGATGGTTAACTTAAGTAGATGGATTGAAACTGGTTCAATGATCATATCTGACAAGAGGTAATTAATGGAGCAATGAGACCTAAGGGCTCTACAATCCTATGATAAGTCAACATGTTTATAGATGACTTGTATAAAATACACTCAAAGGTGATGGAGAAAAAGCGGGGGGCGGGGGGAAGTAAATGATAGTGTTGTTAAAAAATAGCTCAACAGACTGGAACAATAAGCTGGATCTAATAAGATAAAATGCAATGTAAATACATATGAGATCCTTCCATGAATTCAGAAAATATTTATTTGAACAAATAGGGGAAATATCTGGTTTAATCATAGCATAAATGAAAAATAAAATAGTACGTTTCCGTTTTACTTTAAATGAGTTAACAGTGTTTTAAGGCTAAAAAAAGAAACTATTGCATAGTTGAAGTAATAGATGGGGAATGAGAATAAAAGGATCTTTATACTTCTCAATTTGTAAGTTAAAAATAGGGGTCTATACTCGATTGTGGACACTTTCATCAATGGAAAACCCAGCAGAGCATGGAGCACAGGCCAAAGAAACAAGATCAATTTGATTAATTCCTCAAGAAGTCTTCAACCCACTCCCTGTGAAAAAAAAAGAAAGAAAAAGCCAGAAGCCATGAAGCCAAGAGAAGGAGAACTGGAGTAATTGCTTTCAAATGTGTGAAAGGCTTCCAGGTGAAAAAAAGGATTCAACTCGTTCTGTGACGTTCTAGAAGTACAGTGGTCCCTTGGTATCTGCAGGGGATTGGTTCCAGGACCTCCATGGATAACAAACACTACAGATGTTCAAATCCCTTATTAAAACGGTATAGTGTTTGCAGATAACCTATGAGCATCTCTCCTGTATGCTTTAAATCATCTCTACCTTACTTGTGATTCCCACTGCAATGTCAGTATTATCTACACAGTCATCATACTGTATTGTTTAGAGATTAATGTACATATTCAATAGAGGTGCAACTTTTTTCCTGAATATTTTCAATCCCCAGTTGGTTGAGTCTGCAAATGGGAAACCCAGAGATACAGGTTAACTGTAGAACCAAATCCAGTCTTTGTTAGAAAGTTCAGTTTCAACTGCACAGCCAATCAGACACAAAAGGCAGTAGGCTCCCTCTGGTAAGAGGCACGTAGTCAGGAGGCCCAACAGAGGTCTGTGACGTGTGCAGACTCCATAAACTACAATGGGTGAATGTTTCTGGGTGGTACCATCCATTCTTCAAAAGAAAAAGAAATAAAAGAAGGTGGATGATAGTGATATACTCTGTAAGGCAACCACATGCCCTAAGGTAACTAGAAAGCCCTTCACTGGTGTGATCTGCCTAAGTGAAGGAAAGGTATATGAGTCCCCTCATCAATAAACTTGCAGAGTACTGGACAGCCACCTACCCATAAATGTAGCTTACAGGAAGACACAGAGCTAATATTTCTTGAGTGCTTACTACATGCCAAGGGGTATACTAAGTGTTTTTTCTGACTTATCTCAGCTAACCTATAACCCTAAGAAGTAGGCATTATTATTTTCTACTGAAGACGAAGAAGAAAAGGAAGGAACAGAAAAATGAAGTAAATATCCAAGATGAACAACTAATAGAAGGTGAGCTGGGATTTGAACCCAGGAAACTCAAGCCAGAATTTGTATTCTTAATTACTAGCTTGGTCTCTTCTCAGATTAATCTCCAGCAATAGCTAAGATCTCATCATATCTTAATAAACGTTTACAATTAATTTAACTTCTTCTAACTTATAAGGAGACTATTAAACTTATATACCTTGGCAGAAATCCAGTGGTCCTAGACAAGAATCTAGAATATTTGTTTTCAAACATCATTGTTCATAAGGCACGCATGGGTGCTTGTGAAGCTGCATCTTGCTTAAGCTACACCCTAGGCTTACTGTATAAAATATGAGGAAATGTGGATCGGGAATGTGTTTTTCACAAACACCTTGAGTGATCTGATGCAGGTGACCCACACCTCATGCTTTGAGAAATCTGCAATAAAAACAATCTACATCATGCAACAAAAACAAATAAAAAGTAATACACATGTGCATTTATATAGCACCTTTCTTTTACAACGCTCCAGACAGGCTCCAGGTACTGAGTTCTCCACAAAGGCCCTCGGACTGGTAGAACTGATAGAGTGACTGCCTAGCAAGCTTGAGGCCCCGAGTTCAAACTCTGGTACCACCAAAGGGGGTAAAAAGTTCTCCCAAAAGGCCCATATGCTCAGTGGAGAATAAGCCCAGAAGGGAGCTGGGCCCAGAAGTACAGAGAAGTACATGACAAATCCTGGAAAGCTATCGATTTCTCACACTGCAATTCTTTCCCTTAAATGTTCCCAGGGAACAGAGAGAAGTCAACTTATTAATGAGCAATCTTTAGCTTCTGGCCTTGGGGTCTCTTACTTGAAATCATTGAAGACTTCTCCATCAGCCCCGAATGCAATGTCAAGGGGTGGATCTAAGGACTGCATTGCAAAGGCGATGCAGCAAATCTCCCGGATGAAGTTACTGAGGAGGCAAAAGTCAACTTCAGGAGGGAATGAGATCTTGGGGTTGACGTTCATGGCTCGGATCACATCCTGAAAAACAAAAGATGGCACCACCAGGTTGGCAATCTGTGACATTCTGAGGATTCCAACATCAGTTACGACTGACGGGAGGTGGGGAAAAAGCACACGAGTAAAGACAAGCCAGGAAAACAGTGCACAGGCTGTGAGGATGTTGTCACTTACTAAGAGAGAAGGAGGAAAGAGGACACAGAGCACAAATGGCATGTTAAAAGCCAAGGGAAAACTCTAAAAAACTAATGGAAAAAATTGTTGATACCTTTTATTTATTAGGTCCTTATTTTTTTAATTCTTGGTAAGTGTATGAGGTGCCAGCATACAACACTGACTTGTTCCTAATCTACACTAACAATTAAAATAACTCCCTTTTAATGAGTGGTCAATATGTGCCAAGTCTTGTGCTAAGCACACATTGAATCCCCTCAGTAACTCTATGGAAGAGTGATCATTATCGCTCCCATTTAAATATTAGAAACTAAAGCAGAGAGAGTTTAAATAAATGTATATGGCCATACAGCAGTCAAATGGCAGATTTGGGATTCAAATCCACACTTATTTCCAAAGTCCTTGCTCTTAAGAGCTAAGATATTTATCTCCCAGTCTTAAAGATCAGTCTAGAGAATGGAACTGTAAAGCTTCCCTCATAAAATGTCTAAGAAACAGCCAATAATAACAGGTTACAAAGTAAATTGAATGTCGTTCTTTTCTTCTCTTCCATGACATAGAAGCAATGCTAAACACGGGATGGGTTCCTGAGTTACCAGTGTTTGAATGTCACTAGCTGCAAACTAGTCTCAAGAAGAGACTCAGCACTTACATTAACACTACTTTGGGAATCGTAGAGATCAAGATGACAAATGATATATTCCAAGACAGCATTCTCAAAGTCACTCGACCCCACGTAGGATGGTGTCAATGACTTCCTCACCCTGATCTTGAAATGTCTGAATGCCATTTTAGCCACATGAAACGCCTCCTGCACATGAAAACACGGCAAGTGTATCAGGTGAGAGGAGGAGGTAAAGAGGTCCAAAGAAAGGAGTTAGAAAGAAAAAATGTAACACTATATCAATCTTTGAATAACTAAATACAGAAGCTTAAAAGTATTCTAAATCTGGGAGAAAATACATCTCTCACTTTTGGAAGGTGCATAAATATATACACGACAACCCACGATCACTAATTTCAAGACAAGTGACCATTTGTTGGGGTAATTCCAAGTGCAAGAAGCAGGACAGTGCAGAGACTTGGGGCATGAGTTCTCTGCTATGGACCTGCAGCAATGTCATGTTACTACTGAAGAAATAAGAGAAAATTATCAGTCTAGTGTCTGTTATACATCCATTCAATAAACATTTATTATAGGCCTACATATAGTAGCCCTTGGGACAGTAAGCTTTTCAAGAAAGGCACGTCTTTATCCTTACACTGCTTTAACCAATTCACTGCATAATTCTTAAGTATATAAACCAGGAGTTGGCAAGCTTTTTTCTATAAAGAGCCAGATTGTAAATACTTTAGGCTTTGCAGACTACAGAGAGTCTCTGTCACATATTTTCTTACACCCTTTTAAAAATATAAAGCCAGGGCTGGTGGAGCAGCTCAAGTAGTAGAGTGCCTGCCTTGCAAGTGAGAGTCCCTGTGTTCAAACCCCAGTACTAATTATATATATATATATATATATAATACCCTCTTACTGGAAGGCTGAGGTAGGAGGATCATGAGTTACAGGCTAGCCTGAGCTACATAGTGAGGACTCTGTCTCAAAAAAAAAAAAAGTTCCCAGCAGTAAGGGACTTTTAGAAACCCAAACCAGGTCCAGATGTAGTCCATAGGCCATAGTGTTTGCTGACCTCTGATATAAACGGATAAAACAGGATTTCTGGTAATTCTGCTCTCATGTTAACATTTGGTTGTTTTGAGCATTTATTCTCACAATGGACTCTTAGTATGTCATCATGGCACCACCCATAGAACAAACCCTTTCCTTTAGCAGCTAAGACCCATCATGTGTACATTTTTAATGTCCCACACTCAAGTATCCGGCCTATTGCCACTTTTAGTAACTACTAAATAGCTGTCGAATAAACAGAGAGTTAATACAATCATAACCTCTGCCTTTTCTCAGATCTTCAGGAAAACAATCAAAAGATGGCCATTTGCAGGAATGTATCAAGTGTGCTCACATGCTCATACAAGACAAAGGATACAGCGCAAATCAACTTAGTATAGTCCCATTTGAGATGGTCCTGCAACGAATGCCTGGTTAATGGGGAGTTATTGACTGTGAAAAGCAAATCACCTCCCCCGCCCCCCCTCCCCCCCGCAAATATCTGTAACGGCAAGGAAGAAAGGAGGAATGAAGGGAGGGAGGTGACACGTGATCCCCAGCTTTGAAGGTTGTACCATTCGCGCCACCGAAGCGCTGTCTCCGCCGCCCCCGCCCCCGCGGTCCCCCGGGACGTCGGGCAGGTGTCACCTACCACAGTGGCGATGTAGATGATTCGCTGCACGGTCTCGGCTTTGTCGATGCAGCGCCGCAGCAAGCCTTGCGCGTCCAGGCGGGCCTGGGAGTAGGCGTCGCTGAACCGGGACAGGAGCGCAGCCTTGCGCGCCACGCTAGACAGCTTAGCGAGGTTCGGGGACGGACTTCTGATCTTGGCGAGCGCCGAGGTGGGGCTGGCAGACCGGCTGCGGCTGCGCCCGCGACTGTGACTACGACTGTGACTGCGACTGTGGCTACGGCTGTGACTACGGCTGTCGCTGCGGCCTCCACTGCGGCCCCCGCTGCGGCCCCGGCTGCGGCTGCGACTGTGGCTGTGGCTGTGCCCGCGACTGTGGCTGCGGCCGCGGCTGTGGCTTCGGCTCCGACGGGCAGGGGTTGGAGATCGGCTCCTGGTTGACCTGTGGGTGAACGAGAATCAGCTGGGGCTGTTGTTCCTGGACTCTGGTTATTTCTTCTCTCCGATATATTCTGCAGATGGCACACAGGAGCATTACACATTTTCCCAGGCAGGGCTAGCTGCCTGGGACGACCCCGCACCCACCCCACCCCACCCCACTAGGCCTATGGGAAGGCCTTTGTCCCCAGAGGCCTCAAATAAGACCACAAGCAAGAAACGGTCCCCAGTCTTGGCCTAGTGAGTGAGAATTAAACGCTTTCATTCATGCACCAATCTGATTCACCCCAAGGCCAGTTTGAGCTGTTGGCCATTTTACAGATGAGGAACTTTTAATAGCTCTGAAAAGAGTAATAGGGCCATTCTGGAATAACACAGACAGCATAGGGCCAGAGTTAGAGGAGAAGTCAGATTTTGTTTTTATTTTGTTGTTTTTACCCTGAACTTGGAGTTCTAACACATCATGTAGCACCTCACACAAGGCTTGTGGTTTAAACTGAATTACCAAGTGCAAAGTAAAATAGCAGACCAACAAGGTGGAAGAAAATGGGACCCCCAAAAAACCTATGGGGCTAAAGTAGTAGGAAACAGTGTAGTGGCATGCTGATAGGCAAACTGGAGAGGTGGGAGCCCTTCTTTGTAGTGTTTGCCAATTCTCACGGTGCAAATACTCCCACCCTGCAGCAAGGTACAAACCAGCACCAGAACTGAGGGATCCCAAAACTGAAAGCTCAGGTAACATTTAGGAGAATGGGGACAGGCAGGGATTGGTGCTTTAACAACCTGAATTAGAACATGGTGGGGAGCTGGGGAGGTGTTAGAAAAAATAAGGGAAATGCAGAGATTACAAGGAGAAACTCTCTGCTTTGTCCTCACTAAACCCTGCCTTAATGGCCCGTGTTCATCTGTCCTTCAACAGAAAAAGATTTCACAAAAACACTTAACCTACAACACCATCACCAAAGTGAGATGGGAGAAGATCTCATGCAGCAAAATGGACAGCTGTCCACAGAGAAAGGATTCCTAGGCCTCATAGAAAAGAACCAAACCTCATATGACGGAAAATTTTTTCAACGTGGGTACCACCTCTTGTATGATCAATCCACACAAGCCTAGTTTCAAGCCAAAGACCCTTTGCTCATCTCTCAGCCCAGTATAGTGCTCAGGGACTAACAGTCCAGGAGTTGTTTTTTCTGTTTGGAAGGATGAAGTTAAAGAAAACAATTCCTTTACAAGCCAAAGTTTCCCAGGTTGTTGGGAGTTGGGTTTACAGTGTCATTTTACCCATCCACCCACCCTATTCAGGCTTTTCCTACTAACTCAGAAAAAAGAACCTAAATAAAATGATCTGTGAGATTTTGTCAGACCTTCCTTGATGACCAGATTTTTCAGCAGACAGGATAGCTATCTCATCCTTCAGGTTTTGGAGGTTTTTCTCATAATCAGAGCTCCTCTGGTCCGAGCTCCGCTGCTCTGCTCTGAGCTCAGATGCATGCTGCTTGCTGGAACTCTGCTTCTGGGATCTGTACTGATCTGTGCGCCTTGGCTCTGAGTTTCTGTGGCGGGCCTCCTCCTGGGCTTGAAGGGATTTAAGCCTGTACAGCAATGAAAGATGGGGGTGGGGAAGAAAGGGAAGGGAGGGAGGGAGGGAGGAGGGAGGGAGGAGAGGAAAAGTGATTAGTAACATTAGTCTACTTAGTGTGCCACGTGGCATCAGAAAACACTGACGGAAGTACACATGCATAAACTAGCAAAGAGTAGAACTGCCAAGGTCAGGTGCCATTCCACATGGGCAGCCTTGTGGGAAAAGGTTCTCAAAGAAAGGATATTCATTCAGATCCTCCAGGAAAACTGGAGCGGACCTGTAGCCATGCTGTTCCTTACTGACCTCATCTTAACTGTACAAAACTCTGAAAACATTTGACCTTTGAAACCTAGTACCAAGCTGGTCTAGAATATAACCTCCTACCCTCACTAGTTCTTCAGTTCTTTTGAACAGATGGAATATGTAGGGGAACAGCATGGAAATTGAATGAGATCCCCAACATTTGCCAGAAGTGTGGACCTATAAAGGTAATGTAGTACAGAAACAAGCAACAAAACTTTAGAAACAGAATTGGCTTGCTCATTAAGATACAAAGAGGAACAGTCACTGCAAAACAGAAGTGACAGTTGTCAGAGAACATGCTGATGAAAATGATCTTGATGTAAGATGAGAAAGTAAGGAGTAAGATTTAGGAGGGTGTAGAGTAGCTAAAAATGTAATATGACTAAAAGCTGCATACAAATACGTAGAGAAGAGGGAAATCATAAGCACTATCATCAATAAATCTGAAGTGTAACAAATAGGCAATAAGAAGTAAAATGATGAAGGGGAAAATAGAAGTGGAAATTTTTGTAATAAGAAAAATACATAACACATTAAATAAAATACTGCTGTCTTTTCTCTTTAATTATGAACAGATTCTTTTATACTGTAATGGAGTACCAAAAAAGCTGAAGTCAACAATCCATCAGCAGGCTACAATAATCCTATTGTTTTTTTTTCCTTACTGCTTTTTTAGCTGATTTATTTCCTCCTCTGCAGCCAAGAGGGATATAGTTGAACTGTTCTTGGTTTCTTCAAGAGTCTTTCCACTTGCAGCCAGACTGTAAGAGAAATTAGTAACCAAAAACAGATTTTTTCAAAATTGGTAGACTTTCCAAATCAAGGCTTAGGTTCTCTCAGAACTTTTGGCATATAATGTATCTTCAACATAAACAAAATCAAATTACAAGACATCTGGACTCAATCAGATAACACTGCCAATATTATTGTGGACTTGCATGCAAAAACATGCTAGCATCCTTTCCTCAATGTCAAACACAAAGCAATTAACAGAGCTACTGCCCCTAGAAGATTATGTAATAACTTTTTAGATAGAACACAGAGGACAAAGAAACTTCTTCAATTCCTCCTTCTCACCCTCCTAATTTATCTACTCTAGGTGCATCCAATCCCCAGGTTGCCTCTTTCTATAAAAATCTCCATTTTTCTACAATATACCATTGTATAGGTTCTCATTGTGGAGCTGCATTTTACTTATTTGTCCAAGACTTTCTAAATGTAAAAAAATGTATGTGCCCATCTTTGAAGAAAGTCCTCCAGAATCACACTTGAGTCCCAGACATTTCATGTCTTTGTGAAGCCTCTGATTTCTACCACAAACTAAGCACAATTTCCCTAGTAGTCAACGTAGTGCAGTCATTGTTAGCATCAAGGAGTCTCTTCACTTTACAAATCAATAAATCATACTCTTTCTTTAGATCTATCTTAATGTAAACATACATGGGAGTGGGATGGATGACACTGGGTGAAGATCACTGCCTCTCAAGGAAGCTGCCCTAGCACACCCTTCTCTGACCTGTCTCCCTGGAAGATCCAGGCTCTTTCATCACAGTAGTTCTCAGGCTAAGCATGAAATTCCTTTAGGTGGAAGAATAATGGAAAGTAAAATACTGAGATCCTTTTTGGGATCTTTAAATCCCCTAAAGTTCATGTGTTGAAGGTTTGGTCCCTAGCTAGAGGCACTATTGGGAGATGGTGGGAGCATCAGAAGGTGGGGCTTGTGGAAGATATAGGCATTGGGAGCCTGCACTTGAGAGAACATATGCCATCATAATACTATTTCCTCTCTCTCTCTCTCTCTTCTCTTCCCCCTTCACTCCCTCCCAGCCACCACAAAGTGAGGAGCTTTGTTTTACACAGACTCCCCACCACACTGTTTGGCCTCACCACAGACCCAAAGTAAAAAGGCAAGTGACCATGAACTGAAAACTCTGAAACTGTGAACCAAAATAAATCTTTCCTCATTTTAAGTTGTTTGCCTCAGGTATTTTTGTCACAGTGATGGGAATATGACAACACAGATCCTCACCTGGAAAGTAAAACACACTGAGAAATAATGGGAAAATAGAATCCTTATCAGTCCCAAAGATCCAAGCCAATCAGACACTCACCCAAAATTCTATCCCACCCCCTCCTCTACCACCAGTCCACATGCCACCTGACACCCTTCTCATTTATCTCATTGCATTCACATTATAAATGGCTGAGGGCAAAATTTTATTTTATTCATCTCTATCCCTGGTAACTAAAACAGTGCCTGTTACACAGCTCTTTCTTTAAAAATTAACAAATGAATGAAAAAAAAGTTGAAATTCTAAAAGAAAACCAAAGTATCAATGACTTCACAATACGGCAATTGAAGGTTGAAGGGAAATTAGTGTGATTTAATTCAAATGTGAAAATGTTACAGGTTATACAAAGTAAAAATGGGAAAATGAACACTTTTTTCAAGAGAAAACTGTATAAAATGAAAAGTGGCAAAGAAAATGCACCAAGAAAGGAAGGAAAGTACAAACAGGAATAAAAAAATTTTGGTTTTATTCCCAAGACATAGCATACCTGTGTGAGCACAAATACAAAAAAACACATGCTAATTTCAAATGCCTGGTTGACATACAGAGAAAAGGAAGATAAGTATACTTATGTACCAAGAATTATACTCATCAGGTTAACATATTTTATTTAAAAGTTTTGTTATGGACTTATTCATTCACTGAGCAAATTACTGAGAACTTACTACGAGCCAGGCAGGTGCTCTGCAGTGAAGTCACAAGAATGTCAAAATGGCCACGTGACAGGCGACACTTTGGATCGTCCAGTCTAGTGGGGAGATGCACCATAAATATGCAAGCAGGGCCATTTTTAACATTCCCAGTTGTAATTAAGTGTTGGTATGGGGAAAACAGATCACTGTGAAAGAGAATTAAAGAAGGAGAGAATACCTTTTGATGTAGGATGGTCATAGACTCCAGGAGTCACATTCAAGTTGAGACTTGAAACATAATAAATAGCCAACCATACAAAGAGCCAGTGGCTGGCTGGAAAGTTGTTTCAGGCCAATGGAAGAGCCCAGGCAAAGGCTTCAAGGTGAGGAAGTAGACAGTGATTGGACCAAAGACTGGCTTGAGATGAGACTGGAGCAGAGGCAGGTCCTGACTGGGCAGGGCACTGGGAACCCTGGTAAGGAATCTTTATTTTCTCAAGTATAAAAGGAAAATATTAATACTTTTCAAGCCGAGGATTTGCATTATAGAATAAGAGCTACTATATATATTTTTTCTGTGGGGAAAATGAATTATAGTTGAATAACAATGAATGCTGGGATACTAGCTGGAAGGCAACTGTTTCAGGCAAGAGACATCAGAGGCTTGAACTAGGGAAGTGGAGGTGGAATCGGAAGAAACGGACAAAGGGACACATGTTTTGGAAGTAGACTCAACTGGACATTCTAGAAGATTGCATATAAAGGATGGAAAAGCAAGATTCATAACTAGAGCCCAGGCAGAAAATCTATCAGGCTTCACCTGTCTGGGATTTCATTAAACCTGGGCAGATCTGTCATCTTTAGGCCTGTATTACTGGAATTTGCACCTTGGACCTTGGAAACTGAGTAAGAATGGAACTAGTGTTCACAGAGTAAGGCAGGGGGGGTCCCTCCTTGGGAAGGCCATTCATTCCACTGTAGGCAGGGCCCTGACCATAAAGAGCCAGGCAACATGAGAGAGGGAAGAGGGAGCTGGCTACCATAAATTGGGGAACAGACTCAATCATTTGAGGTACCTTAAATAGAGGTATTTTATTTAACAGATAGGTTAAAACAAAACCAGAAAAAAACAGCAAACTGCATCATGTATGCAACTTCCAAATAGTTCTGGGAAGAAAAGTATGTATAGACATATGGCACACACAGAAATGATAAAGCAAATAGGACAAAAATTACATGAAAGGGTATATAGGTTTTCTTACTACTATTCTTGCAAATGTTCTATGTTTAAAATAATTTCCAAATAAAATAAAAGGTTTTTTAAAAAGCATGCTTTCACCCAGTTTCTTAGATTCTGGTGAGCCTTATAGGTAACATCAGATCCATATACCAAGAAAAGGAAGTGGTAAATCCTGATTCTTTTCTGTTCTGACAGCAAGAACCAGCAAATTCTAAATCCCTGCCTTACAACCAAAGGCAAAGGGAGGGCCCTCACCACCTGCAGCAGTTGCAAGCTAATGTTCCAGGAAACCTAATCAGACAACTCCTAACTCAGGGCCGATCAGTGTAAAACAATGGTGCCCAGGTGGACCCAAGGCCAGCCCAAACTAAGAAGGCAGAACAAGACCCACAACAACTCATCTGCAGCACCAGTAGAGCAGGCAAGCTCCCCTCTCCTCTAGATGCCAATCTAAGGAAAGACAAGAGAAAAAGAGGAGTCCCAGTGAGAGGGCAAGACCAGATCAAAGGGAAATTTGCCTTTGGAATTTACATCCTCACTCAACACAAAGGGGATGACAATAAACCAGGAAAGACCATAGAAGTTGTGAATTTAAGGACTGGTTGATGTGATTGAAACACATTAGAGATATTACACTTTTTGCATGTTACAGATGGACATTTTTGTTGCTGTAGTTATGTCACTGCTCACTGACTGTGATTCCAACGAGAAAACTGGATAGCTGTGTGGAGGTACAAGCACATACAAAGGAAATGAATGAGTAAAACAAACAAAATGTTGATGAGAGATAAGTAACAAGTGAATTTCATCTTTACATTTCTATTTGTTGTCTGCATTTGAGAAGGAAATTGTATTCTTTTTATTATTGAGAAAAACTGAATCAATAGATATTTTCCTTGTGGGGAAAAGAAAGGAAAGCTCATGAGAGAACAAGGCAGAGTGCCACACACTATTCCATCACCAGCATGAACATTTCCCTGTTTAATTACAACAGATGTCCTTGCTGCCCCGTTCTTGTCCATGATGCTGTGGCAGCAAAACACCTTACTGATGGGTTTTGTTAAGTAAGTTGAACGCAGTTGCATACGTATTTGTCTATCTTCCTCAGTTTTAAACCCAAAGCCTGGGATTTTCTTTGCAGTGATTCCCTAAGCTTGCTACCCTGACTTTGCCCCAAGCATGCATCTGATATCTGTTCTTGCCTGGCATTGCTTACCTTTTTAAATTCATTTTTATACCTAATAGTTATTCCCAAATCTTGACTTGTCCATATAAAAAGAAACAAAAACCTCTGACTTTCTCAGGCATAAATAGGCCCTTAAAAGACAACAAAAGATGGATGCTAATGCTTAATTGTCCTCTTTCTCTCATCTTTCTTCTAACAATCTTTACTTATTTATGAATATAATTTGATAGTGGGCCTACAGAGAAGCAGCTCCACAGATGGGTATGAGGGACCAAAGATCATAGAGTAACATAGATATTCAGTCCCCATATTCAAGACACTGACTCCCATCTCTGTCTGTCTGTCTTGTCTCTCTCTCTCTCACACACACACACACACACACACACACACACACACACACACACATTACTTATTTGCAAATGCCCACATTTTATACAAACCATTATTCTCCTTCCAAATTTAAAACAATTAAATTTAGAACAATTCTTTTGGGAAAAAAATAACTTGCATTCCTCTTACTCGTCTTGAACCTTGTTGAGCTGGTTACGAGTTGAGTTCACGTCACTGTCTAATAGGTCTTCATCCCGAAAATTACTGTCTTTTTGTCTCTCCCTATCAAATGTGTCCTGGAAAGATACACAAATCAAAAAAATAGTTACGAGTACATGAAATGACTTGGATGGATTACAAAAATGTTGAACTGAGTAAAAGAATTCAGACACAAAAGAACATATAATATATGATCCCATTTCCATAAAGTTCTGGAGCAAAATTAGTCTAGAATGGTAGAAATCAAAAGTCTGTCTACCTGGGAGTGGCACAAATAGTGCTCTGGAGTGATGGAAATGTTTTATGTAAGGGTGTAGGTTTTATGGATTTATTCATTTGTCAAAATTCATGAACCTGTGAGTTTCACTGTTATGCAAATTATACCTTGATTTAAAAAAAAGACTTTGAAACATCATCCTAAATCTCTATACCCAGAACCACACCCACAGGGAGTGAAAATCTGAGAAACATCCAAAAATTAACAGGGCAAAATAACTTCTTCATGACAACTGGTATCTACAGAGTCCTTACTCTCTGCCAGGTCATCTGCAAGTTTTTCTGCACCCTTATTGCATTCAGTTCTCACAATGAACCTATTATTAGATAAATAAAATCATTGACCCCATTCAGCCAGTAAGGAAATTGAGACATAAAAAGCTGAACACCTACCTGGGGCCATGGGTCTAGTTTTCTGCCCAGTGATCTCCAAGCAGGAATCTTGTAAGACCCTCTTGCTTAGAAACATCTGCTCTAAATGCTTCTGTTTTAGAAGGGATTTTATGTAAATCAGTTTAAACATTTGAAAGCAAAGTTTCTGACTGCTATGGTTTAGATGTGGTTTGAGGGTGTACTCTAAGCACTTGTGTGTTGCCAGTTTAGTCACCAATGTGGCAAGGTGAGAGAGGATGTGGAACCTTTAAGAGTTGGGGAGTAATTAGGTCACCGAGGGCACTGTCCTGGAAGGAACTGATGCAGTGATTGTGGGACTCTGGTCAGCTCTTAAAAGAGGGCTGTAATAAAAGAGCAAACCTGGCTTCTCCCAGCACTCTGGCCTCTTATCTTGCCATGTGACCCCTCCCTTCTACATGTACTTCTGCCAGTATGATGCCATCACTGCTGAGGTCCCCACTAGAGCCAGCAACATGCTGTTGGGACTTTCTTTCAGCCTCCAAAACTATGAGCCACATAAACCTAGCCTCGGGTATTTTGTTGCGGCAACAGGAAATGGGCTAATATATTGATGTTCTGCTTACTCAGTATAACAATGCTTAAGCAAGCCATGTATTGTATTTCTAGTCTGGTCTCCAACTGTTTGAAAGCTGACCCTGTTCCATGGAATCTAACAGTATGAATCCCAAACTATGACCTTTTTTTGCTAAGTTTTCTTCTTATGTTTAAAGGTCCACTTTTAGTGCACTGTTTCAGAAAGTCAGGAGTCAGGGCTGGGGAAGTAGCTCATTGATACACTGCTTGCCTAGCATGCACAAGGCCCTGGATGTGATTCCCCAGCACCACCAAAGGAAAAAGAAAGAGACAGTCAAGGGTCATCATTTAGCATCCCTACCTGTAGCGAGGGGACCTTGCTGTCAATAGGTTTTCCCACAGAAGCAGAAGTAAAAGAAGCCTCCAGCCAAGGCAAAAGACGCAACTTGATGGTTTCCACACCCTCATTATGTCCTCCTAAAAGAGTGCACAGATCAGGTCAGTGAGCTTGGTCAGAGGATAGATGAAAAAAACACGGAGTGGGGGGCGGATAGGGAGGCAGAGAGGGAGGGAGGGAGGAAGGAAGGGAGGGAGGGACGAAGATAGGGAAGCACAAGCAGCTCTCACCTTCTTGGGCTGCTGTCGTGAGGATCCCAAAAAGTTGTCCCTGCACTTTGGCAACTTGTTCAATGAGCTCAAGGCAATAATTTAGGTTGTCATCACATGTGTTATTCTGTAAAGCCAAAACAGCAGATATCAGTGCAACAATTTCGTTCTGCTTGATCCAGGGGCTGCCTGGCTTGGGCATGGTCACCAGGATCTATTCCCCTTTACCCTGGAAATCTCTTTCCCCAGCTGGCCATGAGATTGAGTTCAGTTCATGATTGAGAAATGATATGTCCCTGGGCTGGCCAAAAAGAAAACCTCCTGAGAAATTCCCTTTTTTTTCCCCATCTACCAGCCAAATGTAAAGGAACCAGAAGAAAACTTCAAGGGCAGCAGGGGTGGTGAAGCCCCCAGATTTGTAAGATTACTGAACAAACACTTACACTGAACTGCTACATGACTAAGAAAGTAGGTATTTAAGCCACTGAGATCTGGGGGCTACTTTGGATGGCAATAATCCTACTCAGTAGAAACTTGAAAAAAAAATCCTCTTATAAAGTGAATAGACCTTTTGTAACACAATACAAATTGCTGTCTCATCTGTTTTATTGGTTCTTCTCCTCTACATAAATCCAATTTTTATATCTAAGACAAAAGAGAGCACTACTTCTTTAACAGCAAGAAGGTACTGATGAGTTGAGGATATAACCCACCAGTTGTATGATCTTATCACCAGTGTGATAAGATAAACAGATGACACACAACAACTGTGGACAGACAGAGGAGTGGACAGGTAGTGGGATAACAAGTCCTATTGGACAGGTGAGCATCAGGTCCACTGGAGAGCCCACTGTCTTAAAAAGTCAGGGAAGGCTTCCAAGAGGAGGTGAAATTGAGCTGAGAAGACATTAGGTAGACCATCAGGGGATACAGGTGGCCCAGTGACTGTGGAACCTTTTAAGTAATGAGAACAGACCATGGGAAAGTCAAGAACTGGACCTTTTAGCTATCATTCTGCTTGATCATTTTTTAGTGATATTTTATCACTTCATTTGCTAAACCTCTAATTGATTCCAACAGTAAAAGAAGGAAGGTAACTGTAAGCAACAATTAAATCGCATGAGTGTAAAAATGCATAGATTATATGTCCCCTCAAGTCACAACGAGGCAGTGGCCATCGGCGTCATTTTGGACACCACAAATCTCAGAATAGGAAGGAAGGTATAAGGAGGATAGTAACTCCAGAGGATAGAAGCAGAAGTTTACAAGGAAAATGCATATCTGTGTCACCTAGGGAAATGGTCTACATAAGCAGAAACCCCTTTGAGAATGGAGATGATGCCTGTCTGGCTCCTTCCATTCCCAGCTCTGCATTCTGTAGTGTCCGTTTATCCAAACAGATGGATGAGGGACAATGAGATGACTCACCCACCTTGTTTTCATTACATCCTTCCCATATGCCAGCTATGATTAGTGCTTTATACATATCAACTCAGTTAATCCTTGCAACAGTATATTTTAAGGTAAAAGAACTATTATTATTGTTCCCATTTTTCAGATGAGAAAACTGAGGTGCAGAGAGGTTAAGTAACTTGCCCAACACTATCCAGCTAATAAATTGTCCGAGCTGAGACTGGAACCCAGGCAGTCTGGTTCCAGAGCCCATTCTCTTGACTACTAACTTATACTGACTTTTCTACTGGGGTTAGCATTGGGGGTAAAAGGAGGACTGGACAGTGTGACAGAGTGAATAGGGAAGGCAGTCAGGGTCCTCTGAGGAAGGACACTTGAACCATATCCTGGATGATTCAGGGATGCAAACCACAAGAAAAGAGCATGCCAGACAGTGGGAGCAGCAAGGGTAAAGGCCTTGGAGCAGGAACAAGAGTGGAAACCTTGAGGAACAAAGGCAGGTGGATGTGGCAGAAGCACGGGTCAGAGAGGACAGGTCTGGGAGAGTCTTGCAGGACTCTTGGCTTACAACTGAGAGGACAGCTGGTTTATTTTTCATGCTTGATAAACAGTACTGGCGACTTGCTCTGCTGTAACCCTGATTTCTCTTATAGCCATTTTTGACTCCATCTCATCCTTCTATCCTTTCCTCTCCCCAAAAACCTGAGTTGTGTTTAAAAAGTGACTTTATCTTGTGATCCTGCACAAGTTACTTAACCTCTCTGAGTCTATTTCTTCTTCCAAACAATGGACAATGAAGCCCTGCAGAGTGTTAGGAGATTTAAACAAAACAATGCATGTCAGCCCTTCAGAGACAGAAGGTATTAAACAATTGGCAGCTATGAGGTGGTGTTCAGCATCAAAAGGAGTCAGGGTTTAAGAATCAGGCAGCCCCTGGGTTGGGCATGGTGGTACACAGCTATAATCCCAGATATGTGGGAGGTGGAAGTAGGAGGATCACAGTCCAAGGTGGACCTGGTCAAAAGTGAGAGGCCCTATCTGAAAAACAAACTACAGCAAAAAGGTTTGGGGGTGTGTGGCTTAAGTGGTAGACCACTTGTCCAGCAAGTTGAAGGCCCTGAGTTCAAACCCCAGTACTATAAAAAAAAAAAATGAGGCAGACCTACATTCTTCACTGCTTTCCCTTAGAAAAGACATCAACATAGGAGGCTCCACTTCCTCATTAGGAGGTGGTTGAGCTTGCAAGCTAAATCAAGTGCAGAACCTAGCATGAAGAAGACACACAATAATCAGAAGCATTACTGTGGCAGCAGGACTCCTGCATCTTGCCCAGGGCCTGGTGCATAGTGGGTATCCAAAGGCATGTTTGTGTACACAACTTAAACATCAGAATAGGATATACTTTGTCATATCATTGTACTCCCAAGACATGTCACAACACGCCACATCTCACACAAAGCATCGTCAAGGCACACAAGTTGCAAGAAGGCCACACTGTCTGACTAAACCTAAGCCCACACAAGGTAAACAGCACAAAGACATGAGCCAAGGGCACCGTGCCCAGAACACAGGCTCTCCTGGTCCACTCACTCACAAATCACCGAGTTCCTAATACAGCAGAGTACACTATACGCATATATGGAAGTTTCACGATGAAACCCCTTTGTACAATTAATACGTGCTATTAATTGTACAAAGGGGTTTAAAAAGAAATGAGAGGTAAGAAAAAAGAAGTCAAATACTCAGGAATACAATTTCCAGCATTAGAATCATAAAGAATATGTATTCTTTTAAAGCTACTAACCTCTGTACAACGCCTATGGACTACTAGCCTCCTTTAGGAACCACAAGAGCTATGAAAATACTGAGCTTTGGTCAGAGGCAGAATTCTCTGGATTGCATGAACACCTTCTGCAATTGCAGGTTTTTCTGCAACAAAGTTCTCTTGAGATCTTCCCTAAACACATCCCAGAAGATGCTTTTCTCATACACATAAGAAACAATGGGAGCTTAATATTAAGAGCAGTAGCAATTCGAGGCGGAAGGTTTTTGAGAGCAATTTACAAGACAGAATCTTAATGAACCCACCTGTGAGGCAGTGGAGGGCAGGGAAAGGCCCAGGTTTCTGATTTGAGTCACAGGGGACCACAGAGGGATTGTGATGCTATTACCCAACCCAAGGCCATTGCTCAAGAAGGAGAGAGACAGTGAGACTGGAGAGAGGATAGTTTGCTTGTTTAGCAACTGTTGGGTTAGAGCACATGCAAATTCCTGGAAAGCAGGCACAGGTCAGTAGCCATGGAACAAAGCTCTACCTGAGAGTTGCCAGTGTCTTTGAAGTAGCCAAAGCCACAAAATTTGACAAGATGTGTCATTACTGAAGAGAATTCAAGGACATAAAGGATAGGAAAAAAAAAAAAAAGAATTGAACTTGACCTCTAGTGCCCATGACAGCAGTTGTAGTAGAATGTGGTGGGGGAGGAACTGAGTTATTCCTCGTTTCCAGTTTGCACTGGGTTAGGGAAGCATGTGGGAGCATAGGAGCAGGAGAAGCAAAGGCAATGTGGGCAGATTACTTCTAGAAGTTTCACAGTATGGGGAAGGAAAAGAATAGGATATGGCCTTGTTCCCAGCCCCACATCACCACTCTCTTGATCAAACAAAAGCTCCCTACCCATCAAATATAAATATTGCCCAATTTTCAAGTTTCTCCATAATATGTTCCTATCCAACTCACGTAGCCTTACTTCCTTCTGCCTGCCTAGCTCTTTTCCACTCCAGCCACGAACCTATTCTGCCTCTGCTCGTGTGCGGCCCCCCTCCAAAAGGACCACCAGCCCTTTGGCCCTTTCCATTTGCTTTACTCCTGAGCAGCCTCTGCCTAGTTATTCAGTCAGCTTCTGCCCACAGGAGCCTGGCATCACCAATGATCCTCTCAGACCAGCTTTCCTATTCTTTACTTTGAGTTACTTCCACAACAAGAAAAAGAGAGCAAAGACATGGTCAATATGCTTCTCACTAAATTAATACAGTTTATCAATAAACATTTTCAACCAAATATGGAGCTTCAGTTTTAAAAGTTATCTAAGCCCATCAATTTCAATACAAAGTACAGTGGTTTCCAGTGACTTCAGTCTCACACACACAAATATGCTTCAGTGTATTAGACAGAAGTCAACTCATCACAGTTTTCCTTTAAAATATAAATGCTATTACAGCATTAAATGTTACTTTTTTAAATCTCACATTACGTATAAAGGGAATACCATTCCTTTCTGACAAATTAGAGAATTCATAGATGAGTAAGGAAAAAGAGAGGGAGGGATGAGCCAGTGTGTGGACACTAGGCAGAAGGGCAGGAGTTTGTATTCTTCTGCAGGTAACTATGGAAATTCACACATGGAAGGCAAAAGCCCTAATTTCTACCTTCCCCTACTCGGTTCAGAATCTAAATTCATGGGTGTGGGGTTGAAGGAGGATGGCAGGAAATACGCACTACAGGTAAATGGAACATCCTTACACCTGCCCACCCTCTGGGAGAGACAAGAGAATGGGTGTAGCATGCCAGACCCTACAATCAAATTTAAGTCCCACCCTTTCTCACTGAATGAGACCATTTATGTAGCCTTCTTCACTGGATTTTATTGTCTCTTGACCCATGGTGATTATTCTTTCATTATTTGAGTATGGTGAACTCCTTAAAATTAAATGATG